GGAATTACTATACTAAACATATCATATTATACTGCATAACACACATGACAAATATGTATACGATAAGTTTGTTTACACAATATCAAAAATCTGACAATATTACACAATATATGTTCACACATAGGGAACAGTAGCAGGTTGTTGAGCGGCTTTGTCCACCTGACTCAACGACACTGCGGAGAAGAACTCCTTACGAGCCCACTTCTTTGCCCCAATATGACATCTTTTGAACACAAACCATACTGCAACGATAAATGTAATCGCTAGTGAACTTGCCATAACAAGTCCATATAATTCAATCCTTTGCTCCAAAGAACTGTTACTTGCGCTATTTGCACCATTTTGGGCGATTACAATCTCCTCCTGTTTACTGTATGCTTTACCCATTTTTTATTTTTTTAAATAAACAAATAATAGATTGACTGTTACTAGATGTAAAGGTAATGTATATTGTACAGTAAAATGTAAATAGTGAAGAAAAAAATGTTAAAATTTATAGAATAATTTCTGCTTACAGTCTAAAATTCGTAATTCTAAATAAAGGCGTGACCACAGTGCTTCACGATGTGACGCTATGCTACGTTATTCATCGTTTAACACTACTTGCTATCTTTATAGTACAGAGGCTCAAATAATAATAATAATAATAATAACGCTTTATTGGAAACTAGAACAAAGGAAACAGTAACATTTTATGTCTTAAAGTGTCTGCATTAGTTAAAAGAACTGTGTCGCAGACATTAACGCCACCTCCAGCCTGGGGCCGTCAGAGTTCCATTAATAACAGTATAAAATAAATTAACAAACTAAAACTAAACCAAATCAGATCATAAATTGTTAGTAAGTCTGTGTGTGTATATATATATATATATATGTGTGTGTGTGTGTGTGTGTGTGTGTGTGTGTGTGTGTGTGTGTATGTGTATGTGAGTGTGTGTTACTGAGAGAGTGGAGAGTTTTGGAGGAAATTTCTATTTGCAATTATGTGGTTTAGCCATAAGTTCAAGTTCTTCATAGTTCAGGGTGTGCAGCCATTGATTTGTAACCAACTTGCAAGTCCTAAGCGTAACTGGATTGACATTCAGTATTCTATTTACTCGGTTGTATATAACAGGGCTAATAAAATGATATTGACGCTTAAGGATCTCAAACCTGGCCACCTCAATATGGCACACCCTATCCGACCTCCGTATCCGGGAAATAGATACCGCGTCAAATGGCAATTCTGCATGCTTGCGCAGTATGGTGCTCAGCAAGAATGAATGTCTGACTGTAGGGAGTTTACATAGGTCATAGAGCTCCTTGGTTGGGAAACGAATAGGCTTACGTGTCATAACTTTCAGCACAGCCCGCTGCGACCGTTCCAAAGGCAGCATTAAGGATTTTACTGAGCCACCCCATGCAGTAACACAGTAGGTCAACATAGAGTGAGCGAGAGCAAAATAAACCATTTTCAGCGTTTGTAGGTTGGCAGCCGTTCTTAAATGTTTGAAGACAAATATTAACTTACGAACTCTTGGCACCAATGATCTAATTTGCTCCTTCCAGGTCAACATACTATCCACGTACACCCCAAGGTATTTGATAAAATCTGTGCGTTTAATAGCAATACAATTACAGTTTTGAGTAGTAGAACACAGGTGGGCACTTAGGGAAAAAGAAGAGGGCGGCTGAGATGCAATTCTTGGAGAAAAAGTGATGAATTTCGTTTTTTCTAAGTTGAGTGTAAGAAGGTTATTGGCTAGCCAATTCATAATGGTTTGCAGAGCAGATACAGCAAAAGAACGTGCATCATCCCAACTTTTACCATGAATCAGTAATACTGTATCATCTGCGTAGGTAATAATTTTAGCGTTAGATGGGGAAAGCTTGCACAGATCATTTATGTAAATAAGAAACAGGGTAGGACCGAGGACACTACCCTGAGGAACGCCGCAGTTCAGATGTTCTAATCCACTTATATAGCCACCGATAGTAACGCTTTGGGTACGATTAGTTAAGTAACTTTCAAAAATATTGAGAGGTAGCCCTCTAATGCCAATTAGTTCAAGTTTCAGTAGTAAGAGCGGAATAGAGACAGTATCAAAAGCTTTAGAAAGATCAAGGAAGATGCCTATTGTTTTCAACTTATTATTAATGTTTTTAGCAACAGAACTAATTAACTCCAAGACGGCGTCTTCGGTTTTTTTGTTTTGCCGAAAGCCATATTGGTTGTCTACAATAATTTTATTTGAATTTAGGTAATTAAGGAGTCTATTATTTAATATTTTTTCAATAATCTTAGAAAGAGTACTTAAGACAGATATAGGTCGATAGTTGCTGACACTGTCTCTATCTCCACTCTTGTATATTGGGTGGACTAAGGCTCTTTTAAACACAGATGGAAAAGTACCGGTAGTCATAACAAGATTGAATACATGGCAAATAACGGGTATTAAAACATGTCTGGAAGCCTTAACCAGAGAGGAAGATATGCCATCCCATCCAACCGAACTATTCGATTTCAGACTTAAAATAAGGCGTTCAATTTCCTCGTTGTCTGTAACGAAGAAACCCATAGAATTCAGAGGGGAATTACTGGCAGTAGGGTCCGGGGCTCCCGAACAATGTAATGGTCCTGGAGAGATTTTAGATGCCAGATTTTTCCCTACATTCGCGAGAAAGTGATTTACAGCATCGACTGAGGCGGGGGGGGGAATCCGACAGAGAGAGTAGTTCGTCTGCTGTGGTCGTTTTTTTCTGGATGTTGGTGATATTTTTTATTAAGTTCCACCTAGCCTTGGGATTTTTGCGATGTTTTTCAAATTCATTTCGCTCATACTCGCATTTTAATTTTTTAATTAGGTTGTTACAAAAATTCCTGTAACGTAAGTAGGTAAATCTCTGAAATTCAGTACAGGAAGCGTTTTTTGTTTTACGGTATAAATTATCCCGATGTCGAATACACCTTAGAATGCCAGGTGAAACCCAAGGTTTTAGTGATCTTTTTTTACTTGGAATACAGAAACTGCGCGTATTATCAGTAACAATAGCAGCAATCGTATTGACGAGCTCCGCAGCCGCCATATTTGCATCGTCACATTCAAAAACACGAGAAAAGTCCGTCTGTTCAAGAGCTAGCACGCAAGCTTTTTCATCCATGCGAAGTTTTTGTGTGGCGACCTTAGAGCTGGGAAGGTGACAATCGCAAATCAAATCAAATCAAATCAAATCAAATCAAATTTATTTTTGCAGAAAACACTGTTACAATGGTTTTATAAAGACATAGTTATGTTTCAAGTGATTCTACCTTAAGGCATGCAAAATATATACAATTATTACATACTAAAATTAAAATCGACATCGAAGTATTTAAATCAAATTAGATTACAGCATTTAAGTATTAAAAATGAATGTAATGTCCTTATTAAAATTACAATGATAAATATTAGTTATTTATTTAATAATAATTAGATTAGTTCTATGTCACTCACTGAATTATTATGTATTAACAAATTAATTACATTCAAAAGACACACAAAAGGTCTCAGGATTGGAAAGATCATCGTTCAGATAGTCATTCAACTTATAATAACACTTATTAACTAAAAGGGTCTTTAAATGTTTCTTAAATAAAGTAGTATTCATTGCCCTTATTTCTTTAGGTAATTTATTGAAAATTACCGGAGCCATGTGAAACACACTTTTGTGCATTAAAGTGGTATAGGTTCGGCGCATACAGAGGCGAAATTGGTCACGTTGTCGCCTATTATAGACTTCTGAGGCTAATGTAAATAACTTTTGATTTACCTTAACAAATATTGAGACCTCATAAATATACAGGCTTGGGAGAGTTAGAATTTTGTACTCTTTGAAGAATGGTTTACAGGTTTCGATTATTTGAAGCCCAAACATAGCCCTTATGCACCGTTTTTGTGCCTTAAAAATTAAATCAATGTCTGTCGAATTTCCCCAAAAAACCACACCATACCTCAGGACTGAAGCAACTAAATAATTACAGGGGCATGGTCTGTAATAAAAGAGTCCAGCACCAAGGTGACAGCAGACTTGTTAGATTTGATGGCCGAGTGATCAATACATCTCTGTTCACGAGTGGGAAAGAGATGGCCCGGTAGCATGCCATGTGACGCAAGTGTGTCAAGATAGAAGTCAGAGTGTTTGTCACTATTTATTGGTGATATATCTATATTTATGTCACCAATTAGCACTATAGTCTTAAAAGTCTTTAGAGAGTTAAGAGTAATATCTAAGCTATAAATGAAGTTTTGTGGGTTAACGTGAGATGGTGAACGATAAATAGCTACAAGTGCGGTGTCCTCTCGTAGTTTTACTATGAGACAATTCGCGTCAGCAACTCCTGGATACTCGACAATAAAAGGAACATCTGATTTAATATACACAACAACTCCCTCATTTTGGTTGTGAAAATCAGATTGAAATGACTCATAACCAGGTATAGTAGGAAGGTGGGGACATTTGGACAACCAGCACTCTGACAAAATAATTATATGCAATTGAACCTTTATCCTATTTAATAGAATTAGAAGATTATTGAAGTTGCAACTGTTACCGACACTACGAATATTGACATGAAAAATATTGAAACCGTCAATTGTACGTTCCAAGTATGCATCACACTGTTCGGGTGAACAATTATAGGAATCTGAAACCGATAATCTTTCAATATCACTTGCAATCTAGAATTATCATCCATTTTGGTAAACAAAGTCAAACAATTTACCTATATACAGGATTACTAGGCACAGACCATAATCTAAGGTTAGTGCAGGTCTTAATAACATTTTATGGGTAAGTAGTATAAGAGTAGAATATTTCCATGGTGTATATTGTTGTGTGTGAGAGGGTGAGACTAAGTGTTGTCCTGTTGTATTGTATGAGAATTTCGAGTAATGTAATGTGAATTTTAAAGTTAGTGTGTACATCGGTCGTATAATAATGAACGATAGATAAGCAATGGAACACATATAACAATATCCTAGTCACTTTTTGGGCAAGTCAGACTCAGACTTAATCATAATGTGCGGAGCTCCTTGTTTTTCACGTAGATATATTTTGCCATTCGTAACCCAGCAGTACCGGTATTGATTACTACTTGCAAAGTCTCTGGCAAGGAAGAATAGCCTTTTCATTTTTGGTGTTAGATTTTCTGATACAAACACTGGTTTAGCCGGCCCACCAAGTCTCAGGTGCTCGGTAGAGAGTTTGTTTTCCTTATTAAATTTCCTTTGCATATAAATAAATTTCTCTTTAAGTAGATTAGTGGTAAATTCCACTATTATAGGCCTGCTATCAACATCCTTTGAGCGAGTGCGGAAGATATCCCTCACGTCATGAACCTGCACCGGTACATTTATGAGGGAACCAATCCTGGTAACCATTGCAGCAAGAGATTCCTTCCTGAGGTTTAACTGGTATATTTCTTATTTCCACACATGTAGACCTAGCTCCCCGCTCCATTTTTTCAAGATTGTCTTCCAATTTTTGTAGATGCAACAAATTAGTTTCTCTTTCTTTCACAAGTTGTGTCTCCAATTGATTGATTCTATCCTGTAGCGCATCGTAATTCTGTGACAAGAAAGTGACCGTAGATTGAATAGTCACGTTTTGGGCTTTAATCTCCTCAATTGATGTGTAAATCTTCTCAATTTTTTTATCCTGCTGTTCTTTAAATTCAAGAAACATGGTTTTCATCTCAGACATAAAAACTGATATTTGGTTGTCGTGTTGGGTATCCAAATCCAAACACTTACGTTTATTACGTTGAGTAACGTTAGGAATGTCACATTCCGGACGCTTCTCGCGCTCCTCGCTTGCAATATTCGGCACGGATGAACTATGTTGCAACGGGGCTAACAGCGGCGTAGTGAGCGATAACTTAGTTGTAGCCGTAAGAGGAGGCGATCTATTTATCGGCATATTGCAAGGCGAAGTACCAGGGCGCCTCAGTTGCAGGGAAGAAACAACAAACGTTTATTGTGTCAGGGGTCAACAAAACTGGTCATGTATCGACAGGTTGGTACAAAATTGCTTACCGTCCACTCAAACGAGACCCCTTGAGCAAAACAAAACAAAAAACGGTGCGCTATTGTATTCACACCAATTATGCTTCATTAAGGTGCGTAGAGGACAGCAAGCAAACGAGTGCACTGATGGTCGACGACTATTTACACAGGCACAAGTTGCTAATGAGGCGAAGAGAAAAGAACTCACTCTTGTGTGTAGGTTCCGAAATGATTTACTTGCGTTGAACTCCACGGATGCACTGTGCGCCTATTATATGCAATCGATTTTATAACACATTTCAATTAATAAATTTAAAATACAGTAATAAAGACACAACAAAGATACACGTCTGATCGCCACAGAGATCCGGAGGAAAGGGGGAAAATCTCTTAGCACTGTCGCATGCCCTGGGTGAAACCTTAATCATTAAACCTTACTGGGCGTTTAATTATACGATCGGAGCGAGTTGTGTCAATGTTAGAAGACACGGATGCGGGTTCGATTACCGCCTGATTACGAGGAACTATATTATCTGAACTTTCTGTACCAACATCGACATGAACCGATCCGTTATCTGTTAAAATATACGCAGGTTTAAGTCTGTCAATAGAAATGCTGACTGCCCTACCAGGCAACTGTATGACGTACACCTTTGCCCTCCTTTTTAAAACGCGGTATGGGCCGTCGTAAGGGGGTTTTAAAGGTCTACGTACAGTGTCGTCGCGAACGAACACATATTCAACCTTAGAGAGGTCTGGATGGACAAAACATGGACGTGAGTTAATATGTGATTTAGGCACGGGTTTCAATGACTGTATAGTCTTCCTGATATTCTCTACTAGGCTATGAGGTTCTGAGCAACCTACTTGCATAGTCTCGTAGAAATCACCAGGTAAACGCAATGTACGACCGTAAGTTAACTGTGCCGCAGAAACTCCGATTTCACTCCGAAATGCAGCTCTAAGTCCTAATAGTACGGTAGGTAGTTCCTCTACCCAAGACTTAACGCTCAAGCGCGCCATAAGGGCGGCTTTTAAGGTTCTATGCCATCGCTCCACCACTCCGTTAGCTTGTGGGTGATAAGCCGTTGTTCGGATCGTGTTTATTCCTAGTAGTTTTAAAAGGTTTTTGAAAAGAAAACTTTCGAATTGGCGACCTTGATCGCTTGTAAGTCGCACAGGTGTACCATAGCGACAGATTCAGTTATTATAAAAAACTTTCGCTACCGTTTCTGCGTTTATATCACGTATGGGAAACGCTTCAGGCCACCGTGTACATCGATCGATTATCGTTAGACAGTATCTATACCCCTCTTCTGAAATTTGTAAAGGGCCAATTATGTCAATATTCACGTGCTCAAAATCAAAATCAAAATCAAAATCATTTATTATTTGCATAAAACAGGTATAAAGGTGGTAGAAGAACATCATATAATACATAGGTACGCTGTAATATAACCTCTTAAAGGTGTGCAAATATTTAGTCATAGATATTTAAAAGATTATTATTTAGACGCTCAACATTACAAACACAATTTGAAGAATATATTCATATCATAAATTTATTCAGAGAAATAATAATGTCAATCAGAAAATCAATCAGTCAGATCAATATAATAAAACCAAAAAATAATAATAAAAAAAAAAAACAACAATAATAATCAAATAGTCAAAATAATAAAAATAAAAAAAAAATGTCACATTGTCATGTTCAACATAAATTAAATAACAATGAACGAAATTAATTTGATTTACAATTTGTCTTGCAGAAAATCATTTACATTATAATAGCATTTTTGGCTCAGAATTTTTTTTAATGTCTGTTTAAAGATAGTCGGATTTGACTCCTTTATATTCCTAGGCAATTTATTATATATTTTTGGAGCCATGGCGAAAACACTGTTATGCATTAGAGCAGTGTTTGATTTACACAGGCATAGCCGGGATTTATCTCTTTGCATTCGGCCGTACGCATCAGAAGACAAAACAAATAAATTAGAATTTAGTTTGGCAAACATAGCTACCTCGAGTATATAAATGGATGGTAGTGTCAAAATATTATATTTTTTATAATAGGGCAGACAGCCGTCGGTTGATTTTAGAGAGAACATTGCCCTCACACAACGTTTCTGTACCTTGAATACTTTATCTTTATGTACAGAGTTACCCCAGAAAATTATACCAAACCTAAGAACTGACGCCACCATACCATGGTATGCAGTCAGAAGTGCATGAGTATTAATTACTTGTGACAATTCATGAAGTGCATACACTGATTTACTGACCCTCTTGCATATTTGTTCTACCTGTTGTTTCCATGTTAACTTATTGTCTATTATTACACCTAGAAATTTTGTGGAATCTACTTCATTTAAAGATTGGCCGTTAGCGCATATCTGTAGGTTTTTAATACTAGGAATACGCTGACTAAAATGCATGAGCATTGTTTTTCCTATGTTAGCTCTTAAATTGTTTACATCTAGCCAGTCGAGAACAGAGTTTAAAGCGTTATTTATATCATCATTATATGTATCCTTATTATTACATTTAATAGTAATTGTACTATCATCTGCAAATAGGGCTATTGGGTTATGGGTTACATTAGGTAGGTCATTAATGTATATTAGGAACAATAATGGTCCTAATACACTACCCTGAGGTACGCCATATTGTATTTTACGTGTTTCAGATTGATAGTATTCTTCTATTTTGGTAACACTATTAATTTTAGAAATTTGAGTATATTGAGTGCGATTTCTAATGTAAGACTCAATCAGGTCTAAGATATTGCCCCTTATGCCATATGAATTTAGCTTACTTAGTAGAGTATCATGACTTACATGATCAAATGCTTGGGTCATATCCATATATATGGAGCAAACAGGTATCTTATTGTCAACATTCTTCATTACAAATACAAGAAAATCATATATGGCCATGTTTATTGATTTATTACCTCTGAAACCCTTCTGTTCTTTCGCCAGAATATAATTCCCTTCAAGGTAATCATTTAGTTCCCCATATATATATTTCTCAAATACCTTAGAGAAAATAGGTACCAGGGCTATAGGTCTATAGTTTTCTATATTGTCTCTATTTCCTTTTTTAAATACAGGTTTTATGATCACTGCTTTCAGTTTGTCAGGGAAAGCTCCAGCTGCTATACATACATTTATAATATGACAAATATGATGACAAATATTACCTGCCACAGATTTTATGACTCTAGTACATATTCCATCATACCCTACACTGTTAGTGTTCTTTAGGTTTCTTATAATATGCAATATATTAAAGGGTGAGCAAGCTTTCAAGAACATCGATTTCTGCCTAGAGGACACATACTTGGAATAAAGCAATTTATTTTTAGGATTATTCGGGACTATTCTATCTACAAAATAATTATTAAAAGCACTACATATTGCATTAGGATCAGTTAGGGTTTGATTATTAAATTTTATACGGGCTATTGATTCATTTGGAACGTTTTGTTTTGTGTTATGTATAATTTTCCAAGCAGTTTTGGCTTTGTTATCTGCTATATTAATAGAGTAAGTGTTTTGTGCTCTCTGGGTTAATTTGATAATTTTTTTATAAATTTTTGAGTATTGTTTAAATTTATTTTTGTTAGCATCACTGGGATTTTTCCTATATTTCCATAAAAGGGTCCTTTTTTTTTTACTACATATCTTTATTCCACGCGAAACCCATTTTTGTTTTTTATGTGCATTTATAGTTATAAGTCTTGATGGGAAACAAAGATCGTAAAATAGTTTAAATAAATCATAGAAGGTATCGTAAGCTAAATTAGGGTCTTCAGTAGTGTACACCTCAGAAAAAGTCAATTTGCTTATACACTCTTTAAATTTCATCTGGTTTTCCAAACAATAGTCTCTTGGTCGAACTCTCCAACGTTTAAATAGGCAGATTTTTTTAACACGACATTGCAGTATTTGCGCTGTGTGATCTGACAATCCTTTCTCTATGATACTTGATTTGCAGTTATGGGGGAAATTATGAGCAAAATCATCTATACACGTCTGACTAATAATCCTAGTAGGTTTCCTCAGCACTAGTTCTAAGTTATAATTAAGGAGTAAACATTCGAATTCCGATGTCATACTGTTTTGCTTTAGAATATTTATGTTAAAATCACCTGCCACTATGATATTATGTTTTTTGTAAGTCTTGTTAATGTACATTAATAAGATTACACAAAGCGATTAGATTTTGGATAATGTTCTAAATTAGAAATAGTATGCCTGTCAATTTTGGCTTTTTGGCAATTTATACACGTTTTAGACCAATTATTGATGTCAGTATTCATGTTTGGCCAAAAGAACTTTTCGGTGACTAATTTTCGGGTGACGCGTATACCTGGGTGGCTTAAATTATGTACACTTTCAAATGCGTTGCGTCTAAATTCAAGGGGTATATATGGCCTTGCATTTTCAGTAGATCATCATCATCATCATCAACAGCCTATACTAGTCCACTGCTGGACATAGGCCTCTCCTTAGAAAGGAGGTTTTGGCCTACTATACCACGCTGGCCAGACGGGTTGGTATAGTATCTTCAGTAGATACGTCGCAATAAATTGCTTTATTACACGTAGGTAAATATAATTTCTTTAAAATAAAACACGTGTTGTTATTTGCGTTAGACATTATCTGGGTCACATAGTCATCCGATTCTTGTATTTTTGCAATTCTGTCGTAATCAAGAACTGTAGGACAATAAACTGTTTCTATGCGCGATAAACTGTCTGCAATGATATTCCTGTTTCCGCTTAAATGACAAATATTTGTTGTGAATTCACTACTGTAAAGTAAATGCCTAATTCTACGGGGTGTTTCGTTCGATTCTTTACCGAGTTTAGAAAAGGCGTATGTTAATGGTTTGTGATCGGTGTAA